GGTCATAGCCGTTGCTCTCTGTTCTCTGCTTAAACTTGCACACTATAGGCTACTCCATTACGCCAAATTGAAAGGCTAAACACCAGTCTCAGTGTGTGCGGCACACCTTTTCATTCACCTTTGCCCTTCATTCGATTCAAAATGAGTCAAACAGTGCACTCCATAGAGAACCAGAAATACATCATGCTTTAGTAAGTGTTTTACGGCACTTGCAACACAATAAGGTCATATAAGTGTCGAAGATTAGAGGTGTTACAAGAGAGTAAGAGAGTAAAAAGTTTTAGTAGAGGTTTTTCGGCGCTCGCAACTGCATAAGGTCATATGAGCGTCAGAAGATTAGAGGTGTTACAATAGAGTAACAGATATGAAAAAGAAGAAGGGGAGATAAGGACAATAGATGTTGATAGGAAAGAAAAAGCAAAACCACACCAGAGCACCTGCCAACCAACCACGAGAGTAACAAACACGAAAAAGAAGGAGGGGAGATAAAGATGATAGATGTTTGATAGGAAAGAAAAAGCAAAACCACACCAGAGCATCCGCCAACCACCCACAGAAATACAGAGTGCAAAGTCTAAGATATTATAATATAATATGTACTAGTGTAGGCTCAGAACAGGAAGTAACACAACATTATCTCATCCATTCAAAATTTTGATCTCAACAAATTCAGTCAAATCATCCAGCATTCAACGTCCCACCTCAATAAGACAATATCTGCACGATATTGTGAACAATGAGATGAGTTTTAGTTTTACAGAGTTTTCAGAGAGTCAGCACAATAACAGACATGTTTTATTATGTGTACAGAAAGAAGAGGATAACATTATTTAAGACAGCACTGAAAATCAGAAGCAGTTGCTATCAGCCACCACCGCTATTCACAACACACACGCAACAGAAATCAGTGCAGAACAAACATTACCTTGGGCATACAGGGTGAGAACAGCCTGGATCGCAATGTGCACACTGTGAAACTGGTACTTCTCAAACATAAGCTGAAAAAAAAAGGCAGAAAAAAAAAAAATAGCTAATACATTGCATGGTCTAATTTTTTACTTGACTATCAGAAAAGAGTAAAGCATTAAAAAAACAGTAATTGAAAAGTACATGTCAAAACAAAAAAAGCAAAAGAAAGGTAACAGAGGTCGAGTCAAGTCTGGTTACAACACCCTCGACATGAGGGTCCATAAAATGACATAATAAACAAATTAAAAAATAAGGACACATTTCATTCATTCCAGACACCTAAGAATTAGAATTCCAATTAACGGTGAATCAAACTTTCACAGAAAATACACAATATTATACCTTTGAACCTGCTCTAACGGCCACCTATGTAAGACAATCACCTGTACAAACAGTTACTTCTCATTTCCCCCCTTGTGTTTTTTTTTTTTTTTACATTATAATGACACTGTGTAAGACATCTATCTGTTTAAGACAACCACGTTTCTCCTCAACAATGGTGGCCATCTCAGACAGATTCTACAGTATATTCACCATTTTCAATCTGAGATTTAGGCATTTCCATCTTCTCTTAAGAAAATTTATCGAATAATTTCTTTTTAAAGAAAACCCATTTCATTTTAGAATACATGGAGCCCATAGATCTATCTCATGATAATATTGTGAATAAACTTTATCAGAGTGCTTTTGAAAATATTTCAACAGTATCAGCGACGAAGCTCTCAAAGAATGAGTAAGATCCATTGTCTTTGCAGCAAGAGAGGCACCTGGCCTTTGGTAAAGACACCAAGCTTAGTAGAGTGACAACAGGCAACATTCCAGGATCATTCAAATTCAAAACCTCGGTCTGTTGGCCTGGTTCATCACTTGACTGCACCACAGCAGCCAGTTAACGTTGTAACATTGTAATAAAATCACACTCGTCGCAAACAGCTAAAGAACAGAGACACAGTGTTTAATGACTCTATACATTACAAACAATAAAATGTCCACATTTCCGGGGGTTTTTGTCTATATCTGAAGAAATAACCCATCAACTTCAAAATCTGTACATTTTTTTTCTCCCATAACAAAAAACTAAGCAGCTTATATTTTGGAAAAAAATATCTTACCCAAAATCCAAAGCTTTGACTTGGACACATGCACTATAAAACTTTGATTTCTTTCATGAAAAGCCTTTGTCTCTTCATCCCCTTTTTGTGTTCGTAAGTGTTTCATGGTGCTGGCACCTGCATAAGGTCATATGAGGGCGCAGGACACATTAAACATTTTCAGTTGGTAGGAAATTTTGAATTTTGCCCAGGTGGCAGCCAAAGCCTACTCTTATCGATTTTAGACCACCAAGGGAACTTTAATGTGCGCAACTTGCACACGGGACCTCCGAGATTTTCCGCCCTTGTCCGAGAAAGCTAGGTGTAGATCTTTCCTACCAGATGATCAGGGGTGTGGCTGAAAGACAGCAGTAAGAAGGAGCCAAGGAGAAGCAGTAGAAAGGCTGCATAAAGTGTCAGGCGCCCAGAGGTGGGGGGAAAAGGAGGTGAGGGGGTGTGGGCAGAAAGTGGAGACGAAAGCAAACGACAGAACATTGCTAGAGAGCTGGAAAGGAGGTGAAAGGAGACAATTTTAGAGAAGAAATTTTTTCCTTCGCTACCCGGATTCGAACCCGGGACCTTTGAATGAAAGGCGAACACCTTCACCTCTAAACCACGAGAGCCCCTTATTTCTTTTTTAAAAATTAGATGAAATACCAATCAGTGGACTAGTTTTTCCAATTCAAAATGATCTGGTCAAAAATCCAGATTTGAGAAGTCTTCCAGTTGCAAATGACATGACACAACTATCACAATAATCAAAATGTACGAGCCAAATCTGCACCAAAGATGCTAATGACATGGTGTTAAAATCCTCTCTTAAATCTATATGACAACTTTCATTCAGTACGGGGAAAATGGGGAAACAGGCCGACAGAGATGCAATATAGTAAAAATTTAACACCTTCAATTGGTATTGTCAACCCACCCTCAACATAATGCATACCAACTCAAAATAATATTATAATACAAGAACAACTGACAAACAAACCTCTATCATTTTCTCTCTATTCTTCATGGGGTTCATTGGTGGTTCTGTGAGGAGGATGCGTGAGTTATTTGTTTCCAAATTCATCTTCTCTGGTCCAAACGTGTGATCATACAAGTGAGTCATATCCTCCCAGTTGCGCACAATGCCATTTTCCATGGGATAATTGACCTCAAGCATAGATCTGAGTTCACTGGCCTCCTCTCCTATCATAAGATCCTGAAGAGACATGGAAAAAAAAAAACAGTTTAAATTTACAGCATACACATTTGAATTCAGTGAAAGAAACAAAAGACCACTTTAAAAATTAGATATTTACACAGATATTTACATTTAAGATGTTTGTTTTCATGTATGTGGTCATTAATAAATAATTATGGTATGCACTTTGTTCCTCTTTTTCATTCAGGAACAGTTCACATGCAGCAGACAATCTAGCAATATGGTCAATTTTCCTTGAATAGCTTCTTTTTCTCCCTGTCACAAATCTTTTAATAATCGGAAAGAAATTTTACCAGTTTCATTACGGTATCATTTGCATATATATGCTGGCACTTCTGCAACCATGACGATTTTTCTTACCACTAGTATTCATTATAATAGATGGGCAAATATATAAAACTGACAAAATAAAACAGGTAAACAGTTTACTTTTAATCAATCACTCTGTAAAACATGAAAAATATGTTCTACAGACAAAAAGGGGGGAAAATGCCACCTACTCCTTTCTTTTTGAAAAGAACTTCTACAATTTAATACACATATCATATATTTCATCTTAAATTCTGATCACTAATTACATATTATATTTAGAGAATAAACCTCTAAACTAATCAGAGTGAGCCTACCATACTAACCTTCACTTCTATATCACCAATCTTTGTTGTTGATCTAATGATAGGTCTACCAACAAGAGATGGAAATATATGTGCAGGGAAGTTTGAGCCTGCAAACCCACATTTGACGAACTGGGGATTAAATTGAAATGAAATTTTCACAAAATGATATCATGTATAGAAATAAAAACAAGAGTGAAGAACACTGAAATACAAGACAAAAAACCCAAACAATTTATATCAGGAAATTTTAAACAAAATACGATCAGTAATTGAGTAGACAAAATGCATGACTCTGGTATATTCTTATTATGATATTATTATTATGTAACTGAAAACTTATGATGCCGGTAGTAAAAAATAGATTGCATTCCAAAGACACCAGAATAAGAAAGCTTTTCTTTTAATTTTGACATTAAGGAAGTTACTTTGCCAGATCTTTTCCAGCAGTATAAACTCAGTAGTTAGTTTTCTTTCATTATATAAATAGTTAAAACAGTGCCCCTTTCATGAACAGTTTGACAAGTTGCAATGTTGTTCATAAACCATAAATGCTGTGAACAATTTAAATAGACGAACTGCAGTACAGCGTGTCTTTCAAACTTAAATTTGAGTCCAATTAATAAAAAGAAAAATCAATATCTTCCAGGGCCAAAGCCTGAACTCAATTTTGGATGTGCGCTTCGCCCAGCGCCCTTATCTGAGAACTTAGCCTGACTTAGGTAAGGTGTTAGTTCTTACCTATCCTAAGATCAGGCTGAAAGACATCAGTAAGATGGAGCCAAGGAGTAGCAGTATAAAGGCTGCAGAAAGAACCAGGAGCCCAGAGGAGGGGCAAATGGGGGAGGGGACAGAAAGTGGCGACGAAAGAAGAGATGACAAAACATGGTCAAAGAGCAAAAGAGATGAAAGGGGAACATTTTAATTTAGAGAAGAAAATTTTTTGGCGCTAACATGTTTCGAACCCGGGACCTTCTGAATGAGAGGTGAACTCATAACTGAACATCTCTAGATCTAGATCACGTCCACGAGAACCCCCAAATTTAAGTTTTCCTGACTTAGACTTAGGCCTTAGACGTAAATTTTGACAGATTGGCTAAATCCTCTGTGATTACCTCAAAGTATTGTACCCGATTACAGCCTACAAATGCTTGATTTTTTTAAGATAAAATCTTGATAAATTTAAGGCTGAGTCGTTAGACAACAAACAGAAGAGTAGTATAGTCTACATCTAATTTCACAATGTTCCATCCCCTGCTGAGCCTGAGCTCCCCCTGAGCCTGAACCCTCACAGAACATTGAAGAACGAAACACTTTCCCTTTCCATGGACCTTAACTTATCTTGGGAAAACAACCAATCGAAACATTAACTGAGTCCTAAAAGAACCAACAGTCAATATAAATATGAGGTAGTCAGTCGCCCTTCAAGATCTAACATCTAGATCTAGATCTAGATCTAGATTCTAGATATATCTATCACAATACATTGTACACACAGTCAACAAAACTTGAAGGCAACGCCCACTTTACATTTCACGGGACTCCTTGGTCAGACTTAGACCTTTCCTCCGACAACATTCCTTTGTCTTAGAACATTGACAAGACAATTTTGTATTACCACATAAACCATATTTCTCTTTTATTTGTCTGAACAAACGTCTCAACACCAGAACGATAAACAACATCTTGTTTTCTTCAATGATTTGTCAAGTTCTCATTCAGAAAAATCTTATGAGCTTCCGGGTTTCATCCTGGGTAGTTTGATGTAAACAATGAGCATTGTACATGCCAAACTTGAAAAATAAGACTCAAAACAACATTACAACTCACCCCTGTGCCATTATCGCACACAACAACTTTCCTTCCGTTCGAATCCATTTCAGATTGCAATAGATCCAAATAATCCGTCGGCTAAAGACTCTTCCCCAAAGGCCGACAGGAAACGACCACTGTTTGTGTCCCCTGATTTTTTTCACAAGTCATAAAGCCGCAACGACAGATCAAAAATAGGCCAAATACTCTGCATCGGGTTTTTAGAAGGCTTTAAATTGTTTGTTTTTTTTAACAAACAAAAAAAAACAGAAAAAGAAAAACAAGGCCCAGTGTTCCATTTTACTAAGATAGACAATACGCTGAAGTTCTAGTTATCCGCAAAAAATGGGTAAAATACTTGACATTAAATCTCTCTCTCTCTCTCTCTCTCTCTCTCTCTCTCTCTCTCTCTCTCTCTCTCTCTTTCTCTCGATCCCTCTTGCGCTCTCTCACTCCCAATATAATATAACGTTTATTTATTTATCTCATATGTCTATCAGCGTGTCATTCTGCCTATCTATCTATCTATCTATCTATCTATCTACATGTATATATCTATCTATCTCACACTGTTTCTCTCTCTCTCTCTCTCTCTCT